CTTTTTATTTATTAGCTAAAACGTATGATATGAAGTTTGAAGTCATAAACTAAGATATTACTGAAAAAGTAATTTTTAGATATGAGTATGTTTAATTCATAATAGTTAATTTTCCTTTAATGGATATACTAGAACACCAGATATGTGAGACGTGTACTTTTTATATAAAATTTTTCCCTCAGAGTACGTCATTATACAGGGTGTTTTAAAAAAACATGTGCCATCTCTCATTCCTCACGTAAAAATAAGGTTTATTTTTTATATCAACATAGGTGCGATACTGCGTTGTTTCGTGGCTACAGGGGATTAAAATCTTCATATTTTTTCGATTTATTAAAATTTTCTTCCAAGTACTTTTAGTGATTCAAATGATTTTGAGGGTAAAAATTACTATATAAAAAATAAAAAACATGTGCGCACTGATTTTTTTTTCATTTGTTAGCATACGTTGTGTAGGCCGTTTAATGCCGACTAAAACTTGTCTGTTGTAGGTTAAATGGTGATTAAAAGTTGTCTCTTGATATTTTGTCGATTCCGGTCTCCTTGATAAGATAAACGCAATTTTAATAATTTGCATTAATTTTAATAGCAACTTTTAAAATTTTCCAATGTTTAATTCCTAAAACTGTTAAATAAGTACCTACTCCTTTATTTCTCATCATAAAATATAAAAAAAGTTCCTATAAACATGAGGAAATGCATAGTTTTAAATTTACAGTATGTTAAAACTTTTCAAAAATATGGGTTTTTAATCATCTTAAGTACCACTATTTTTTTAATTTGCTCTAAGTAGCCCTGAACATAAGTGTTATGACTTTTAATAAAATTTAAGAACAAATTAGATTCAATAAATAATTTATTAATTTAATTTTTATTTTAATTGTAATTAATAAAATTGTGTTTATTTCATGAAAGAAATCGAAATCGACAAAATATCAAGATACTACTTTTAATCGGCATTAAACGTTCTACACAATTTTGCTAACAAGAGAAATAAAGTCAGTGCCGCATATATTTTTTTAGAAAAATATTCCGGTAATAATCTATATGCACTTCCCTGGTGAATCACTTTCTTAGAATTAAAATATGTAGCACTCAAAGTAACTTCTACAGTCAAAATTTCATTCGAATCATTAAAAGCACTTGGAAGAAAATTATAAAAAATTCGGAAGAATTTAACCCCCTGTAGCTACGAAAAAAAGCAGAATTAAACCTATGTTGATATCAAAATAAATCATGTCATCTCTCGTAGGGAGATGACATGATTTATTTTGACATACATGTTTTTTGAAACACCCTGTATATCTTTTTTCTCAAACTTACGCTTTCTAATAGCAAGTAATAAAAATATTGATAAATTACAAAGAAAACATTAAAAAAAGTCATTGCAGATATACGTCACAAAATGTCGAATTCCGTTCACAGCCTCGGTTACCCTTAACCTCAAACTTGATCCTGTCTTGTTTCCGTTGCATAACTTGGTGTAACGTCGCCTCCTAGCCTCGCCGGTGCGGTCTTCTTCGGCATTTTTGCGTCTAAAGAATCGTACGTACATACACACACGTGAAAATTTCGTCAGGTCTGTCCTGCAACAGCAGCAACAACAGTCACCGAGTTCAAGGTTTCCTGCAAACGCATTCTTGATTGGTGAGAGCGGTGCCGCGAATTTCGGCTGAGCGGATCGCAGAACCCCGACGTGTATTTTCTTCTTCTTTTGCTGTTGGTGCTGGCTGTCGTGGCGCGTTGCCTCCTCTTCGTCTTCTGCTTGTTGTTGTTCGTCTTCTTTTACCGTCGTTTGTTCGCTGGTTCTTTGGTCGTCGCAGGCTGGCCCTCGAACTCAGCTGGAGAAGCGGTAACAATCTCGTAAAGTTGCAGGCTGATACCTAAAATAATTGTATTATTATTAGGAAGCACCATGAATTATTTACTGTGAGTTTCTCACAATTTTGTAATGTATGATACGCAATTAGTTCTTATCATTCTCGTATAAATCGTAACAATTTTAGTTTTGAATAAAAATTGAATTCAGTTAAATACAATATAGACAATATAATAGGGACAGTATTTTATTTTGAAAAAGAACATATGCGAAAATTTGTCGTTTTCTGTTTTGGCATTTCCATATTTTAGTTACCGGTACCAGTGGTTGTTATGGCGCAAACCTTCAACAGCAAAACAAACAACTAAGTGACAGTTTTGAATTTCTCTTTCGCTTTTTAAAATAGAAAGCCAGAATGTTGTCGGAAAGCTCTGATAATGAAGACTACTTTAATATTGGTACTCCACCAGAACTTACAAAAGCTGCAAAAAGAGCAGAAGCCAGTTTACTTCCAGAGAAAAGTAGGGGGCGATATGTATTAAAATCTTCAATTATTTTTTGTTAATCTTCTTGTTTATTTTTTTTGATGTTAGATAAGTATTTAATAAATATATTACACGAATATTTTGCTTAATTAAATGAGGCGAGAAATAAGAAAAACAGAATGAGGGAAATGGGTGAGGGAATTGGAAGAGGGAAGAAATGTAGATAATTTGACACTTTCACATTTTTTAAAAGTCAGTAATGTCAATATTACATAATATGTGGTTATAAATAAAAAAAAATAATCTATTATATGGAGTAGGGGTGGAACTTTTTTTATACGTGTGTCAAACTTTGTTCATATTTTTTAGTATTATAGCTGTTGGGTCACTAATGCCCATTTGCACCAGAGTTAAAATTAACAAATTTTAAAAAATGTCTATATCTAATATATGTGGCGGATTCATGTATCCAAAAAAGTCTTATGGGTATTTCGCCACTGGCACTGGAAGAAAATCTACTAAATAAAATAGCTATTTTTTGTAAACACTGCTGCGTTAATCCAACGGAGACTAATTGTCAGCAGTGGCTTACTAATGAACAAATTTGCCTAAGGGGTGGAAAATGCTTAACGTTTCGGAAAGTATATCTCTTTCCGTCGTCGGAAACAAAAAAAATACAAAGGACAAAGGAAAAACTATTTAAAATATACAGGGTGTCCCAGAAATAAGTGCAAATATTTTAACTGGTAGTATAGTTCAACCCCAGAAACAAGCCTATGAGATTTTTTTGCAAAAAAACAAATTTGAAAATTCGATTTTTTTTTAGTTTTTAGTTAAAAATAAATATCTTGATAATATGGCAACATAGGTATTAGATTAAATTTACAAGAAAGAAAATCCAGAAAAGATCCAGTAGTTCTCAAAATTTTAGCAAAAAATATTTTTTTTTGGAAATTTTCAAAGTAAAATAACTCTGTTATTTTGGACTTATTTGAAAAACGATAAAGAGAAAATATGTTTCTTTTATCCAGATCTACCACCACTTAAAATATTTGCACTTATTTCTGGGACACCCTGTATAAATGCAACTATTCGAGAACACTTCAGTTTTTTTTTAAAATAGGTACGTCTACAAAAACCGTTGACGTTCTGTTAAAATGACATTATATCAAATTAAAATTAACAATTACTACGTGATAACAATTACTTAATAAGGTAAAACCAAGAAGCATTAAAACTTTTTGTATGATTATTTTTAATATGTTTTTAATTTTTACGTATGTTATGTTTATTTATGTTATGTTCTTTAAAATCAAACAAGCGATTGCCATACATTACTAACATCTACAGATGCATGAACAATACATTTATTTTTATTAGATTGTATTAAAAACGCCTCTTTTATTTTTCTTTTAATTAGTATTTTTAAAATTAAACATCTTTAAAATTCAATTGGCTTAACTAGTAAAAATGTGCGTTGTTTGTCGATTCTTTTTCAACAAACAAAATGTGAAAAAAAAATGTCTATACATCTGTGGCGGATTCATATATTCAAAAGTAAAGTATCATTGATTGATAAGACAAATTGTTTAATAACTTGGCTATAATTTAATATTTTTGATTATTCAAAGTTCATTTAAAAGGTAGAATCAACAGCCATTACATTTTGAAACTTGTTTGAATTTTGTCAAATTTTACATTCAACGGGCAGACATTCCTTGGCCCAAAAAATTTCAGACTTTTCAAACTTATTCATATTTTCACAATAATAGCTTATTTGTTAAGATTTTTTAACAGTTGTTCTTAGAGTCTCTTTAAGTAACTCAGAAAGTTTGGTTTAGTTAAGGTAATGTTTTCCCTTTTTTTTCCCTTGGATGCTAATATTTCAGATATGTATGTATGTACATATGTATGATATTTCAGACCAAATGGTGAAGGTAGTCCATTGTATCCGGGAAAATGGACAAGAACAATATACTCTGAAGATGTTGCAAGAACTGATTTTTTCGCCATGCCAAACTGATTTTTTCGCCTTTTAAGGCAATTTTTTCCGTCAAAGCTGGCCGAGCATGGTGTTACAAAATTTTCCCCTAAAACTATTTTCCAAAAGGTCCACAATCCGCCTAAAAAGTCAAGGTTGGCGAATTACGCCGAGACTTGGGTCTTTTCATGTCCTTATTTACTGGACTATGATCTGGGATAAAATTGGACAGGAATAATAACCTTTAATTTGACTAGTTTCAAAAATCTTAAGTCGAGTTCATACATGTCTTCGCCATTCATTAAATAATACACTCAGATGCAAAAAAACGCAACCGAAAATTTTTTGATCAAACTTAAAGTGTTATTTTTAATAATACGAATTAAAGTTGATATAATTATACACTGTTTGCAAAAAAAATCATGAAAATAGGGCTAAAAATAACAAAAATATAACACTTTAAAACTGACCAAAAATTTCTCCGTTGCGTTTTTTTTGCATATCGGTGTAAACATTTTTTTAATGAAATAAATGCATTGGTTTGAACGTCATCTGCCTTTTTTCTGTCACCGTCTGTCGAAATCTTCGCTGAGCCGTAAAAGAGAGTATACCAAAAGAGTTAAGTGACTGCGTTTATATGTAGAATAGTCGAGTGCAAGCCTTGTTTTACCTGGTAGGTCTTCGCTTACCTGTCCAGCGACAACTCGAAACTGGAGGAACCGCGATCGCCGCGCCGCCGCGACCGCATCAGTTTATCGGCGGAGAGCGAGACGCGAAGTCGCGAGATTTCCTCGTTTTTCCATTATCAGCGTCCGCTGCCAGCATCAGTTTCCACCAAAACTCTGCTCGTTTTCCATCGCTCGTAGTCATCTGTTCTACCTGCGGATCGCGGAAGACCGTAATTCAGCCCTTTTCGTGGCGGTTTTCATTCATACCCACCGTTTAAATATCGATAGAGACTGAGAGGAGCAAGAAGAAGAACAGCCGAAGAAGAAAGGTGTGCCATGGTTTTAACGACGATGACTTGTGACCGGTGCTATTATGTGCGGTGATAGTGTGCTGTCATTCATGGATATTGTTAAAAATTATTGGCCAAAATATAGTTTTCAAATGTAAGTTTACATACATTTATTTATTTTAGTTTCTTATAATATTCTTTAGCTAGATTGAAATATTTTGATGATGGTCTTCTTTACAACAGGGTGTAAATATAGTGTAAACATTAAACAAAACAGTGTAAATAAATGAGGAGGCTATTATTGAAATAATAAGGGGATTTCATTTAAAATTTTTTGATTTGGCGTTATATACATATAAGGGTGAACCAAAATCATAATAATCCCAATTTTCACACCAGGTAAGGAGTGTAAAGTTGAACGATATTACTAGTTTTGCTCCTTTCTGTGATTAGGGCAAAATAAAACACTAATTCAACACAATACACCAAAACACTGTACTTTTGCACTGGACACGCGTTTTGCTAACTATGTTAGCATGTATACTAAAACTAGTTAACCAAGTTTTAATCATGATGCTAACATGGTTAGCAAAAAGTGCGTCCAGCGCAAAAATAAAGTGTTTTGGTGTATTACAGTGAATTAATGTTTTATTTTGCTGTTGTAAAGGCTCCAATCCACAGTTGTTATATGTGATTCCTAGGTAAATTTTAGATGATAATATTGACAGAAGTCCAGTGCATTTTTTACGAATTTATGTATGTACAATTTTAACACGATCAATAATACAGATTTTTTTTCTTGTTAACTGTTTTGTGTAGAAAAAAACGTCAAAAAATATAAGATGTTTCTAAATTGACTTGTCACTGCGCCAGAAAAAAAGTATTTAAAAATTAGCCTGGGGATAAAAATACAAAAAAGAAGAATTAAATTATTGGGCAAACCTACAGTAAGATTAGCCATGAAACATGACTAAAATACGACTACCCGTAGACACTCAGTGTTTCTGCCTTCCGGCTTCATCAATACGGGAGGAATCACCAACGATGAACTAGTGATCCTGAAAAAAAAAGAAAAAGGGGAAGCAAACGAAGCACGAGGCACCATTTGCAACTTGGTTTAGCAGTAGCTCACAATTCGCAATAGCAAAATAAATTAATTATAAATATGTATATAAACCTAGATATAAACAGTTATTATTTACATCAACAAAACTCACCTTCTTAATAGCACTTAAGGGACATAAAGGCTATTACTACCGCTTTCCTGTTCAAAATATTTTAATAAAGTTTTTTGCGGCTATTAAGCTATTAAGTGATTCTAAAAAGAACAATGTTCGACTGCAAGGTCTGCTAGTAAACATTTTTAAGCTTAAAGTATCATAACACTATTTATTTAAACCAAAAAGTCGTAATACAAAACTAAAGTGTCAAAACGAATGACAATCTCAGGAAATAAATAAATAAATGTGGTAACTTGACATTTTTTTCAGCAGAGCTACCACCTGAATCCCCAACGCGAAATTTAAATTCCAGTTAGCCGGCGCGGCGTGGCGCTAAATATGTCTACCGTTGGCAACAATGAATTTAAAAATCGCGCCCTCGATTACGTAACTAAAAGTTTAATTGATATCAAATATAGTAAACCATTCTGTTTGTTTTTGTTATTTTTTATTCATATTGTTTACCTTATAACATTATTCATAAAATTACAATACCTACTTGTATTCTAGTATATACTTGTAAGTATATTTTTTTTAATTTATTAAAAATCGTCATCATAAAGGCCTCGGAAAAAACAATTTTCTAATTTAATTTTTTCTTAGAAAATGTATTGGAATATTTAGGTACTTTGCTCGTCAATGTCAATCACACAAATGATTAAATAGATTTTTGTGAAATATTTGAAGTATTAAAAAAATAAAATAATTTCACATGTCAAATATTGATTTAATTTAAAATACCAACCTAAAATATTTATTTAAAAATTTTGGATTCTTTTATAATGTATTTATTTTCTTTAGAAAGAAATGTAAAAAGAAACAATGACTTTTTTTATTGTTTTAGTAAATTGATCCAATTTCAGTAAGCACAAAATAACACTTGACATAATCCTTGTTTATATATTCTTCATAATGTATCAAAAACTAACTTACTGCTAAGAACTTTTTACAGTATACCGTGTGCGTCTCAAAAGTAGCTCAACCCCTATAACTTTTTTATTTTTTCAGATAAAAAGACGAGATTTGGTTTATTAGTATATGACATAAATTAGGATTGATTGACGTATTCAATTGTTTTTGGTCGCTTCCTGTTTCACCGGAAATGACTACAATTTTTGATTTTTAAATGGCACCCTTGGTATTTTTTCACTTTATTCGATAGAAAATGACATTCCGAATAGAATGACATATCATATGTCAACTCTTGACATTCTTGCTTAATAAATAATTGTATTTTAAAATTCTTGACTGCCATGGCTATGTTAAAAACACTAATTCTTAATCAAGGAGCCTAGGAAAAATAGATTTGATCGTCTAATGTTTTTAGTGTCTTATCCTGGCCATCAGTTAGAAAATGTTCAAATCGTATTTTTAATCATATCTCAATTTTTTCAAATGGAACGAGGGTGGTTCATTGGCATATTTGGAAAGAGCATTTTTTACGAATAATTTCGTACCACACGCTTGGCATTTCAAAGTATTAAGTTATAATTTCAAATAAACCATATGCCAAAACGTCAAAAGTTGACATATGATATGTCATTCTATTCAGACTGTTATTTTATATCGAATAAAGTAAAAAAATACCGAGGGTCCATTCAAAATTCAAAACTTGTAGTCATTTCTGGTGAAACAGGAAGTGACCGAAAACAATTGAATACGTCAATTCAACTACTAACATACCAAATATCGTTTTTTTAACTGAAAAAATCTCGGAAAAAATAAAAAAGTTATAGGGGTGAGATACTTTTGAGACACACCCGGTATACACAATACATAATATAATATTTTAAAATATTTAAAACTAGGTATTCAGAATAGCTATAAAATCAAAGACAGTATTTTTTAAATATTCACTTTCATATAAGTATTTTGAATAATAAATACATTCGCTTATATACCTATAAATAAACTAACATCTGTTATAAATTGAAAGTCAAACTTTCGTCTGTCGTTTCTCATTTATCATTTATTCCTATTTTTTTCTAAATTACGCGTAATGATGTCCATCCACCCATCAGCTGGGTACATAAACAATATTTTTCAGAGCGTGACTTCAGGATATAGTTATTGTGCTACTTTGTTTATTGAATTTGGATTTTATATGGTGCTAAAATCATAACAGGGAAATTATTTTCCTGCATATGATGTTCAGGGCCAGTTTTATAGGTTCCGGCTAATCTTGAGGTAGATGTTAATCTTGATATTTTCTAACATAGTATGTTTAATGGGTTGCGGAAAAAAACTGCAATGTAAAGTTTAAATTTTAACTGGTGGATAGGATCAGGTTAAACTAAAATCTGAAGATTTGAGTATACCGGGTGCGTCTCGAAAGTGGTTCACTCTTATAACTTTTTTATTTTTTCAGATAATAAAAACGAGATTTGGTACGTTAGTATATGACATAAATCGGGATTGATTGACGTATTCAATTGTTTTAGGTCACTTCCTGTTTCTCCGGAAATGACCACAACTTTTGATTTTTAAATGGCACCCTCGGTATTTTTTTACTTTATTCGATAGATAATGACACTCTGAATAGCATGACATATCATATGTCAATTGTTGACATTTTTGTTAAAAAATCGTATTTTAAATTTCAAACTAGAGTGCCTTGGCTGTTTAAAAAACACTAATGTTTAATCAAAGAGCCTTGGAAAAATAGTTTTGATCGTCTAACTTTTTTAGTGTCTTGTTCAGGCCGGTTGAAAGATGTCCAAATCGTATTTTTCATCATATCTTAAATTTTTTAAATGGAACGAGGGTGGCTTATTAGCATATTTGGAAAAAACATTTTTTTTACGAATAATTTGGTACTACATACTTGGTATTTCGAGTAAAATTGTCGTTATGAACCGCATGCTATAATTTTAATTTTTTGGAGTTTAGATTTTTTGTTTTTTAAAAATAATAAAATGTTTGCTTTAAGAAGTGGTTATTAGTTGTTTTATAGTTTATTTTCAAACCTATCTGTCACAGTTATGGTCAATGTATTTCTGATCAACAAGAATGTCATCTGTCATCGCCATTATGTTAACAAATAGTCATTTTTTTTACCAACGAACGTCATTATGGATATGACTAAAGCTTCATTTTCATGCATCCGTTGTCCGACGATACGATATTAATTTTATTGGTTGAATTTAAAGGCTTCGATTGATTAATCGTTTCTTTCTTCTTCTTCTTTTAGAAGGCGTATCGCCTGTTTAGTTCCGGTTTCCTCCTCGTCTAAGCAACTCTTGCGAGGTTGACTGCCAACTGTCTTGCCAACGTTTAGGTGGTCGTCCAGTAGGTCTTCTGCCATGGGGATTAATCGTTTCCAACCAATCGAAGTCGTCAGATTCAACCAATAAAATTAATATCGTATCATCGTGTCGTCGGATAATGGATGCATGAAAATCAAGCTTAATTCCATTGTTCGGTTCATTTAATGTTTTAATAATAATATGCTATTCATAATGACAGTATCACTCGAAATAACAAGTATGCGGGACCAAATTATCCGTAAAAAATGCTTTTTCCAAATATGCTAATGAACCACCCTCATTCCACTTGAAAAGATTGAGATATGATTAAAAATACGATTTGGGCTTCTTTTAATCGGCCAGGACAAGACACTAAAAACATTAGATTAAAAGTTATGATGCTAAATCAGTGGCGCATCTAGCGATTGAGTCTGGAGGGTGTAGTGGGGGCAATATTTAAGTAAAGTACTATAGGTTTAAATTAAATTTGTGTGCCTTAAAGTGTTTTGTGACTATGGAAAAAAATACATATACTTGGATTGGTCAGAATTTTCTATTTTGATTGTTATTAATAATTTCGTTTGTTATAATTTTATTTTATACCACATTTTATCTTTCTTTTTCTCAGGTTATAGTTAGCTGCCATTACTTAACTGACTTGTATAGAATTGAATTAAACGAAAAAATCT